AATTATCAGTTCATCATAAAAAACATGCTTGCTAATAATCTGTCAGTAAGAGAAGCTGTGAGCTTGTAATGTAAACTAAAGACTGTAAGAGGCGGAGCCGTTTTCATTCGTAACTACTAACATACAATTACATAGCTTTGTAACGTTCTTGCGAGTTTCTTATCTTCGATTTTTGTGTTTCTTATCTTCGACGAAATGCCTAATACTCCGAGGCGTTCAGCAGCTAAACCGGCTCTGCAGATGCGGCGGAATCTCGAGAGATCCTGGGAAAAGGACCTTAAATGGGAGTTGATTCCCGACAGACTAAAACAAGTGAGTAATCGATGTGGATKAAATATCGGACATGATTTAAATATACCATTACATAACTAAATGCCTTTATTCTTTAGGGTTGTTTTAAGCTTGGAAATGCACTGAGCTTGCCACCACTTTCAATTCTATGTGGTCTGATGATGCTCACCAGTTTTGCAATGAGCCACTCCTCTGTCCATGTATCAGAAACTGGCTGGTACGAGCCTGTCATATTGTGGCTTGTCGTTGTCATGCCAAGCGGTTGCGGGAAGTCCACGCTTTACAAGTTTTTGAAGAAAGCTGTAGAGAAAACTCGCGCCAAACTGCAGCTGAAGGATGATGCCCCTGCATGGTCTGCGGAAGAAGCAAGTATGGAAAAAATGGGGGCCATGATGAGTGAAAATGGCTGTAAAATGCTAGGTCTTTACGACGAGTTCACACACTTTTTGACACAAATTAACGTGTACAAAGGAAAATCCCTTACAGACTCTCAAGACCTGGCCATGCTATTGCAGCTGCATAATGGACTATCTTGGTCACGAAAAACTGGTAAGTCAATAAATGTATTTTTAAAGTGTTTTTATTTCTAGTTGAAGCAGTATATTTACATGATCATTGCAAGCAGATAGTAGTGAAGCACTTTATGCTAAACAAACACATTTTTCTCATTAGAACCGCTGACACGCGGTAATCAACTCCGAAAAACTCACACAATAGGATCACTAACATGCATCTTAATAAATTGATGCTATGATATTGTTTGGATATATTTTTAGCCTGCATCACGGCGGCTCTAGGAGGGAAAGGGGAAAACGGAAGGGGAGGTTCCCCCCTACCCTAGAGCCGCAACGCAGGTTAATATATTKTTTGAAAATGAAGAAGTTGAGATTTTCTAATGACTAACTTTAAGGTGAACCATTGTAATCGAGTTTTAGCATTTTCAATATAGCAATGAATATATCAGTAAAGCAGTGAATAGTCTATTGTTTAGGGATTATTTATTAATTCACAATTATTTCTAATAGATTTGATATAATAGTTTCGCCGTCAATTATTAATGTAAATATACATACTTCTCTCTATGCTCTAAAAGCCAGTTTTATACTCATACTCAAATTCCGCTGGGATTTAAGCCAATATTGCTTCTAATATGTGCTAGTAGAAAACGGCTTACGTAACGCTGCCTCATTTTACTGTAATCATCGAACTTATTATGAAATCTTTCACTTATAATCTTGTTTACAGTTTCCCGTGAATGCAACTTCACAATGCCTCTCACAAGCTTCACCATTGGGGGCTTCACGCAGCCAATGACTGCATCAAGTATTCAGTGCCAGAGTGGGAGTGCTGAAAAAGGGCTATCTACACGTTTTCTTTGGATTTCTCCAGAGCCTGTATTTAAATCACTTGACGATCTAGGTGAAGTAGATCACGAATTCTTCGAGGATTACGGTAATTGACAAAACTACTAATACGTTTTAATACGAGCTCCGTCATATAAACACATGAATGAGAGGCCATGTTGATCTCAWATGTGTTTGTTTAATCATGAACGAATGGATGATTGAGCAAGTGAATGAAAATAAAAAAAAAATCTAATAAAAAAATATTGTTTAATAAGACGGCAGCTGCCGAAGAGAACTGACGGTGTTTTTTTTTTCCTTCAGTATCACTCCTTTCTAACCTGATTCAAGGCAGGAGAAACTTCGACCAGCAAARTCGTAAAATCTTGGAATTAAATAAAGAAAAATGTCCTTCATACTGCCGAGTTTTTAACGAAATACAAAAAAAGTTGAAGAATATTGCTGGATATGATGACATGATTACAGGTAATGAACCAGGATTCGTCGACTGCAAGTATGAGCAAAATCACTTGAATTTTTAAGCATTTTTGAAAAAGCACGAAAATTGCCGAATTGCTGAAAATAGAAGAAGTTATCAATATGGCTTTATTTATGACTGGTTTTAAACATTTTTCTTAAATTTTGATATATATTTTTACCATGGGTCAGTCTGAAAATTAGCACTTTAAAGTATAAATAAGCCCTATGTTACCCTGCGAACCGATGATTTTTTCCCACCCCCTTCTACGAAGAAGATAGCGGGGAAATTCCTCTGCTTGCAGGGTAGCCCTATGTTAACCATTTCGTTTTTTATTTGAATTTCTTGCAGGAATGTTAAGCAAATCAAAGGGTCAAATATTACGAGTTGCAGGCGTATTCTCGGTACTCTTTGAAATCGGACTGGAGAATGTCACAGAAGAAATCACAGATGTGGCCTTGGCTGCAGCCATAAACTTCGTCGAGTTGTCATGCGACCATGCCTTKTTCTTGGCTTCAAGAAGTTCGCTTAAAGATGAAATAGAGAGTGTGCTTCTGGAAGCTACATCAGCTATCCCGCTTGACGAGGAAGAACAACAGCCGTCAGCTGCAGTAAAAAACCTTAAGAGCCATATCTTATTGTTGCCAGGGAAACGATTGTTCCTCAGTCCTCTGCTTAAGAAGAAAAAATTTCGTGGATATGCCGAAAAAGATGGAGTTCTAAGAGATATGGAGGAACTTGAACAGCTGGGACTTGGAAGATTGGAGAGTGAAAAGAAACCAGGGAAATACATGGTAAATATAAAAATGCACGATGTGCACTCAAACCCGCCAAAATGCTGAGGGCCGGATTGTTCTTAGCCTGCGTAGCCGGTCCGAGAGATTTTGGGTCGGAGAAACCCAGTAGGAACGCCTGGCTACGCCGGCTAGGTTTTTCAAAGCCCGTTCAGCGTTAATCCAGRCAGTTTTAACTCCATAGCTTTTTGAGAGTTAGCCCAGAATTAGTGCTAATCGGACTTTGAACAACCCAGCCCAGGGATACGCTATTTCATGTTACTAATAATCATCTTCTGATCAGAAATATACATTCTACAAGTGTGAAATCCCAGAAGGCGAAGAAGAAAAAATTGCATTTACTTGTAAATTGACGGAAGTAGGAGTGTCAATTCGTCAATATCGCCAGTCTTTGGATGAGCCGGAAATCCTTGACACTCAGTAAGTATCTATAAAAAAGTAGTAGAGTACAAACACTAAAAGATGTGCAACATAAATACCACAAAAACCCCACAAAATACTGCTAAATTATGCTAATTCTATTGTTTTCTATTGTTCAATTAACACTATTTTGTAGTAAATAGTGGAAAGTGTTGCACAAATTTAATGTTTGCACTCTACAATAATCTGATTTTTGCTTGTTAGTTTGGTCGATTGCTTAACTGTGCTTACCATAAAAACAAAATCTGAGCCGTAGAAAACTGTGCTGCAGGGTACAATACAGCAATGCCTTCCATTACTAAATATTTTATGTCATTTCATTTYAATTTCAGAATTACAGGCACGAAAAGAGCCGCGCCAGTGACAGACGAAGATGGTCCATCTGGGSTAAGAACTAGCCCCAGAAAGTCTCCTAGGAAGAACAAGGCTTGACTTTTCCGTCGCAACACGTGTATAATTTACTTTTTTTGAACCGCATTTTTAATGGTTTTACTGCAATCTTGGATTAATTACTTTTTTGGCACAAATTGTCATACGTTATATATAAAGTTTTAGATCAAAATGACTGACAGTTTCAACACATGATTGCAGGAAACCAAAGATCGATATATAGCTACGTATCAGATTTTTCATTACTATTACAAGTGCTTTCRTAGTTTTAAAGATAGCAAAATATTGATAAACAATACGCCACGTGCGGTTTGGTTGTTTTTAATCAGTAGAGCATAATGATTTTTTAAAATATTTTTCATTATCACTTTTCTGCCGTTATTTGAATTAATGGAAACCGTCGACACACRGGTTTTATTTGTCTACCTGTTTGTTTTTGATTTCGCTTGTTGTTGTTTTTGCACATTTCATGGCATATGAAAGTTCATTAAGAAATTAATTTCATCATGGCCCATCATGCTTTGCTTAATTGCTTTTCATTCCTCTTTCTCTAGAATAACGTTTGTGATACTTTGTAGATTCATATATCACTAAAACGAGTGGTAAATGTCATGAACACAGTGTTACAGTTCAAAACTAAATAAAGATTTGATACAACTTAATAATACCCTGTTGTCTGTCAAAGTTCAACTGCAGTGTGTGTGTGGTCATATAGGATTTACGGTTTAAAAGACTTTTTCGTGTGTTTAATGGCCTGTGCTTGAAGCTCAGTTTACAGTGTTAATTAAGAATGGCTCTTTTAGGTCAGCAAGACTTTATTGTAGTAGTTTTTAGGGGGGTTAGACTGCGAAGCGTAGGGGTTCTTAAACTTTGTTGCTATAACGAAAAATATCTATAATTCGACATGTATGACATTTTCCTGTTTTTTTTCCACTGGTTTTACATTCTCCTGATTTCGGTAAACTATTTTGACTCTCGGACAAAGTTTCTGTGACATTTTGTCCGGAAGTCGGTCCAGAGACATGAAAAACCAAAGTGTCACGTCAATTGYATTCTATTGCCGAGCGGCAAAGAAGCTTTGAATTGTCAACTGAAAATTAAAGGAAGACTATCTGCACCTAGTATATTTTATTAGACTGGATTTACATTCTACTGTGATTTTGGTGAATGATAATTTTGACTCACGGACATATATTTTTCGTGACAGTCTGTCAGGGACCCGGACATAGAAACTTCGATTAAGCTGTTTAGGCCGAAGAGGCGAAACGTCGATCTAAATCAAACAGAGATTAAGCTCCAATTCATTCTATATATACTTTAATAGTTTCTCATGATCAGTGGGGACCTACGAATGATTTTTGATAAGAATGTTTAAAAATCTATATAAATTATTGAATGTGTTTGATATTATATCATACAACAACAATGCGCGGGTACGTCGATCACGTAATGAGACCGCATGATCCCACAGAATTAAGAAAAGCTCAAATACTGTTGTAGAACAAAGAACCTTTCCTTGTGTTGACTTAATCGTGTAAACCGCGAAAAGGGCTTTTTCATTTTAATACACAACTTAAGGATGATTTGCACGGCACGATTGTCTCGTGCGATTTGTAGTATAAGACTTGAATCGCGCAGTGTATAAATGCCCCTACGACTTGTCTTTCTAACAGCCGTACGCAACCTACGACTTGTAGTAGGATTTTGAACCACGGCTTCAAATCTTACGACTTGTAGTAGGAAAATCGTATACTACAAGTCGTACGCGACAATTCGTACCGTGTAAATCAGCCTTTAATTTACCATACTATCAATGCCAAAGGTCATTGAGTGTAATGATTTCAAGATCAAATAAAATTAAAAATAGATTGAACAACTATGAAGCATATACCATATATATATATGCTCTCGTTTGTGGAAACTCTGATTATATGGAGTTGATACGATGAGTGCTGCTCAGAGTTTTCTTGCCGAAGTATAACAACAATAGACTTTCTCTAATCCTCTAAGAATAGATTGTCGATAATACGCATATGGTGTTTTCTAGCATTTTTTTACTTTATTTTTCTACTRCATAATTGTTGTACAGTGTATGTATGGGAGAGACACTAGTGAACTATGGTAGTAGTCCAGGGGACAGGGGACACTTAGGGGATGTCCCTAGACAGTCCCCGAGGGGACTTGAGGATGGGAGAGACACTAGTGAACTATGGTGTAGCCCAGGGGACAGGGGACACTTAGGGGATGTCCCTAGACAGTCCCCGAGGGGACTTGAGGATGGGAGAGACACTAGTGAACTATGGTGTAGCCCAGGGGACAGGGGACACTTAGGGGATGTCCCTAGACAGTCCCCGAGGGGACTTG